CTCTCCGATCAGACGATATATTTGTTCATAGATGAGGCTTTTAGATAATTTGTATCGTTAGGTTTAACAATCTGGTTAAAGACTCTTTTCGGATTAGCACCATATCTATAACGCCTTCCCTTACTAAGATCTGTAAGCGCTTTCTTTCCTAAGATGTTATTGTACATGGACTGTACATAAAATCACACCCATATTTCGTTTCCCTCCAATCATAAACATCACTAATAAGGGTAGTTATCAACCAGCACACATATATATAAGAGACAAGAGAAGTGTGCATAACGTGATCCCGAAGTGGAGAAAGGAAACGATCCATCTACACACTTGTGGTTCTAAATGAGGCCATACGCAGGGCCCCAGAGAGTAATAGAGATTAGGATTGGGATGAAAAAGAGGATAATTGGGTCATATACCTGAACCTTAAGAAGAAGAAGAAGCCTAGGTATAAAAGTATGAGGTAAGGGGAAGCAGGGACAGAAATCGAGGGCTTATAGACGGCCAGTTAGATGGTTATTTTCATGTGTAGCAGAGAGCAACTGAGAAGCGTGGTTGGGATGCGAAAGTGCTGATTGGGTATCAGAAACCCGGCGGACAGCATATGAAAGTAATGATAAAGGTGATTACTCCGTATTAAACCCACTTGAAGTGAAACACACTTAAAGGGCATTAGAATAAACGAAGACACATAATGTTATGAATGGGGTTGAGAGAAGGAGATGCAGCGTAAGCTAGGAAATAAAATATGGGCGAGGAATGATGCCATAACGGTTAAACAGAAAATTGGTCAAGGGAATTGCCTTCATTTTTCAATTTGATAAGTTGTAACTCTGTCCTAAGGATAACGTCTCTCATTGACGATGTCAGAAAAACATCTGGGAATATACCAAGTCAACAGTTCGGTGGCTAAAATTAGCATGGATACTTTGGCAGAGGACGAAGGACTAGGCAGGTTCTACAAGGTCTATCTGCAACTTCGATAAAGCCAGGAAAACAAGGTAAACCAACACTATACATTTAATGTAGACTGCGACTAAACCTAAGGCTAAACCCAATTGGTCTACTTAATAACGAATTATTTAATTTTAATTTTTAAGTAAACTGTAAACTTTAAACGGGCTAGAACTACTAATAATATATTTTAGAGAAAAGTCACCTTTCTATTTTTACACAGGATATTTATCGTATTTTAACCTGCCTCATTTCAAATCAACATGGGTACATAATAAATGCTAAATGTTAATATAAGCATCTTTATAATTATCATCATTAATAACTTGCCGGTGCCGCTTTCTTGAAAGAAACAGACCACCTTTGTTTTGCTTTTTTTTGGCCCCACCAAAGAACGAACCAAATGGATGCATGTCTAGAAGATGGTTTCTCTGTAAATGCTTAAGAGGAGTGGTAGAGCGGTGCTTCAGATCAGATTTTGCTAAAATACTCGATACTTGGCAGGCATCTGATTCTGAGGGCTGGTTCGAGGCCGCTTCAGATCCGGACTGGCCATGGAGTAATAAGCGACTAAGGTCCGGCATAGAACGGTTTAATTCAAGTACTCGGCCCAAAGAAGCATTTGTACCCTAAAATTTGTGTGAAATAATTTTGTAAAATAAAGATTGTTACTCAATTACTTTTGCATTAGTATAATCATTTTCACAATAATTAGTAAATAGGACGTTAAGTGGATAGTGATTTTGAGGAATTGGTAAAAAGACATTGTTGTAATTAAAAGTTGTTTGACCTTGTTTTCGCAACTTGGTAATATTGGTAGGAAGACTTAGAGGGATTATTAAGCCTAAATTAGGGGTTAATATGATTTTATTGTCTCAAAATCGACTAGGATTGAAATAGCTACAATTTTAGCGAATTTCAAACCAAATTTTCTGTGGAATAACCTTGCCTATCTGTACCATTAATAAGTAAGGAAAAATCGGTCTTCAATAAAGGAATTCACTATACTTTAGCTAAATAAGATTAGAGGTGTATGACAGAGAAAATTAATCCTGAAGCTGAGAAGTTGGCCCGGTGGGATAAACTGCATGCAGGAAAGCTTCTGATGAGAGATATAGATGAGAAATTAGTAGCCAAAAGAAATAGACACAAGCCAGATTGGAGCTATAAAATATAAATAAAAGTACGATCATAATTTATTAGAAAATATTGCCACTAAAAGATATGAAAAAATTACTAATATAAACGGCTTCAGAAGAATAGCATTCCGTAGCAGATAAATATAATCGTCTTCTTCGTCTCGTTTGTATTTTGCGGGCTCAAAAGGAGTGTTATAATTTGATACATACCTTAAAAATGGCCCGGTTGAGTCTATTCCAAAAAAGGAAAACCGTGCATCCTTTAAGGTGGTTAAGTGGTAGACAATCAATAAGGATATAAGTTAACTTGGGATAATTAGCCCCTGACTGAAATGATTATATAAGGACCAGTTTGCTATCATGTGCTCCTGAATACTGGCGGAATTGTGCAAAACGCCTCCGCAGACTGCTCAGAGCAAGTTTGCTTATGCCTCGCCAAGTGATCACGTCACTAAGTGACTACAGATTGCCTTGGTAATCGACAGGCTATAGAGAAAGTCATAGTAAGCACCACATTTCAAATGTGTCACGAGGTTAAACGCTAGGATTAGACTTTCTTCACAATTCATATCCAAAGAAGCTTAAAAAATGTAGCAGGCCTCGTCCCCTAATCTGCAGACCACGCTAAATCTCTGGGAAAGATAAAGCCTTTCGAACTACTTTATTGATCTGAAAAGGTATCTATCACCAATAAAAATGTGTACTTGCTAATAAACTGAAATTATTTGGACCATAATAAAATCTCCTATTTACTTGGCTACCACCATGCGTAAGAATTTAATGTTTGGATAAGAGGAGAAAATAAATGTAGCGTGAATCAAAAAGCATTTGACACGAAAGCCTGTTTGTAATAAATTCCCTTATACTAGACAGCGAAAAAAAGAAACCTACATACTATAGGGGAGGAAGCAAAAAAACGCAGTAAGATTACCATAGCAATAATATCAAGGTTTTAACGAGTATTTTAGCAAATTGCAAATTCCTCCAAAGCTTTTTGGCTTACTTGAACGAGATCCGACACTGATTGAGCAAGCGGCGCATAATGAGGCAAATTGAGTAGCTCGATTAAACCCTTTGAAGGGGGAAATCGACCTCCAGGTGGTAGTTGTCCATTAGGCCGGATACTAAGTGTACCCAAAGCGATGACTGAAGAAGCACTTTTCACCGGTCCCGCTATACGAGTCAGCTTACTGGTGGCAATGGTCTGGTCGGCATCCAAATTAGTTGACGATTCATTTTTGAAGGGTGATTCAAAACTGGCTGTCGATAAGAGAGGCTGATGCAGAAATCCACTTCGGATAGAAGTGCAAATAGTTGCGTCAGCCTCGGTATCATCGCCCTTCAGACAGTCTGATGAATTTGAGTAGCTCTTATCAGCTAAATTTGAGTAGCAAAATTAAGCAAAGAAATAATACACGAAAAGGAAACTACAACCAGGAGCTTAAGTAAATAACTGTAAAAACGGTTTCACAATTTACACTTTGATTATTCAAAAATCCTGGATACCGATAATACCTGGCAGAGCTAAGACTGTATAGATAGTTAAGGAATAAAACCATATAAACTTACTATGGTTACTATCGTTTAATGTAAAGGTGCCTAATTATGACATTTGTATACATATTTTATAGGAAGAATCTTTTA